AACAACAACAATAATAATAGTACAGTAAAAACAAGTAAATCTTTGTGCAAGACCTTGTATTTTTTATCTTTTTTTATTCTGTAAGTAAAATTATTTTTTACATACTCGTTAAAGTTTTTAGTTGAGAAAACTATTAAATTGATATATATAAATAAATTCAGGTTTGAAACTATACCACGAGAATTAGAATCTGTCTCAGATATAAAAGAACTCTCTGAAGATCTTGATCTCGAGATAACAGCGGACTTCATAAAAAAAGAATTGAGTAGAGAAACTTTAGACGAAGTAAATAGGTGATTTTATTAAATAATTTATACAAGTATATTCTGAATTTTAATTACTTGAATTTTTATCATTAGATGAAACACATTGAAGATTCAGAGGAACAAATGAAAATATCTCTTAAAAGCAGCGAGGAGTCTCAAGAATTATTGATCGAAGATACCGCCAAACGTACTGTTGATTTTCGTATAAAAGGTCAATATGAATTGTCTACAGATCATGAATTTGCAGAGGAATCTGATACGACAGAAGAATAAAATCTACTATGTAAAATTGTTTTCATCGATTTATTCAATCATTTTTCTGAAAATATTACATAAAATTATTAATTCAAATTAAAAATAATCATAAATTATTTGATCGACTTTTATATATTTAATAAAAATGATATATCATTAATTTTAATTATCCGTAGCTTGGAAAAAGTATATTTTTATCCACAATAAATTGCGTAAAGAAATATTTTCTACTTATTAACATACATATGCATTTATTCCACTTATTACTTAACTTTTAATCACGTATGTACATGATTTCACAAATTATACTTGCATATTAAAATTATTTCATATCAATTTTGGTCATATCAATCCTGTGATCTGGTTTTATAAAACGTTTCACTCTAGCTTTATCTCGTTTCCTGTAATAATAATAATAGGTATCAATATCATCAATAACTATCCAGACGTAATTAATATTTAAGAAAATTGAATCCACAAAACTATAAATAAATTTAGCAAACATCAATCTTTTAGTAAAGTTAAACAAAAACATATTACTTGTTTTACAGTTTTGTAACAAAATATTTCATACTTACAATCTAACATTAGTAGGAGCAATAATATTTCTTTTTTGAAAAGACTTAAATCTGTCTTTCAACAGATTATTAGTCGGTTCAGTATTTCGTAGATTTCCAGTTAATTCAGTAGATAATTTAAAGTCAGGTTCTAAAGGCTCAAATTTAATTTTACTGAGAATTTTGGTACCCAGTGCTTTAAGCGCTTTCTTCTTCAATCTCTTTTGTCTTGATACTTTTTGTTTCTTTTCTTTAGCAGCCAACTGTCTGTCTAATAATTTTAATTTGTATATATCTGAAATTTTCTTCTTTTCTATTTTTTCTTGTTGCCTTTTATATACCAAAGCCTTTTGTTCTTTTTGTTTGCGTCTTTGTACACGTGTTTTCTTCTGATTTTTAAGAGGGGTATATACAGATTTTATCGTTGGATCATCATCTTCATTTTCACCAGGATCTTGATCATTTTCTGGTTTCAGACCCTCTGACATTTCTTTTATCAAATTATTCTCTCTTTCTTCGGGTGAAACCTTAAATAAAATTCTAACGTAAGTCTATTTTTGATACGTAAAAATTATTAATATCATTATGAACAAAGAATTCATTTTTACATCCAATTGTACACAAAAAAAACAAAAAGAATACAAAGAGAAAATTAATTAATATACAATAATGCAAAGATCTTGAATTGAATTCTTCGTTTTGAATGTTATTTATAAAACAGTAAGATGGACATTTACGTTTACTTGTAACGACGTTAATCGAATTATGCTTATGTTAACTAGAGTTTATGTTACAAATTTATAAGTAAAGATACCTTTTTGAACATCTTTGTAGTAACTCTTTTAAGATGTTCTTCTTCCTTTATAAATTCCTTTTCCTTTCGCACCACTTCGCACAATAAATTTTGATGATCTTGAAACGAAGGATTGTAAGAAATTCCTGGATGTGGCGATTCGACTGCTGGTATGTTGGATGGCCTTTTGCGCAAAGAAGCGGGTATCCTTTTCTTCTTCACTCCAAAATGTGTTAACGTATGTCTGACCGTGTCCGAAGACATCCAATTGGTATCAATGTCTTTTGTCGTTTTTTGTTTCCATAGATCAATATTAAATTCACCTCTTTTCGGTTCATTTAATTTTTTCATTGTTGCTCTCACGTTGTTCTTCGAAATTCAGTTTTAAAATTCTTTTAATCTTTTCTTATTATTTATTTCCTCTATGATTATCGAGGATCGTACAATCCGTAGAAGCTGAACTTGTGGCATCACAGAGGTTACTTTGACAAAAAGTGCCAGCGCTGTGATTTCCATTATAGTAAAATGAAAATCTCTAGCAATTTATGTCGTTGTCAAACGATGGAACCAGAACCGGTACTACAGTAATATTCGTGACAAATATAACCTCTTTTCGTAATGCATCGATAACAAGACTAAAGTATATTGTATTTAATTCAAATAAGACTCACATCCACAAAAATGGTAAGCATCGAACTTTCCCTGAAATAATTTAATAATCATATTTTTAAACTAAATAATTATCGAGTAATTATTACTAATTACCTTAGAAATTACCATTAATAAATAATCATCAAGTAATTTTATGGATTGCAGTAATGATTTTAAAATGAGAATAAATTATACATTATATTACATAAATTATATATATTTTTCTGTAGGACGTACAAAGGCATTCTGTACATACTCTCGTATTTCGATCATTAAAGAGAACACACGATATGTTTTTATTAAATCAAGGTAATTTACCACCTGTGGATCCTAGCTTGTAAGTACGTTTTACACTTTTAATTTAGATAAATATCGGATAAATGACAAAGTGAAATTTTATAGGCAGAAAATGAAAAAATTTGTGAAAGCAAAAGATTCTTACGGTCCTGTGTTGGAACGTGTTAAAACTAACAATACAATGAAAGCACAAAATGACAATGAAAATGCGGATCCTCCTCCACCAGGCGGTATTTATATATACAAAAAGATATCGACGTTCATATTTTTTGTTCATATTGCTTCAAAGACGATGATATATTTTGCAGATGAATCTTTTGGAGGAAGTAATACCGGTGCAGTTGTACCTTATAATCCTATGCAAAACAATACCGTAGTAGCAACGCCACAAGTAAATTCAGGGGGAAGTTCGGTTAATATGTCATTGCTCGTACCACAAAAAAAGACACCTTCTATGGCAAAACCCAAGTGGCACGCACCATGGAAATTATACAGGGTTATCAGTGGTCATCTTGGTTGGGTAAGATGTTGCGCCGTCGAACCAGGAAACGAATGGTTCGCAACAGGATCAGCAGACAGAGTAATTAAAGTAAGATTATCGTTTTATTTAATATTTTTATCGAATTACACCGTAATACATCGTAACTTCATTTTATCATACAGCAACTAATATAGTCTCTCTAACAATCTTTATTTCATTCATATTGTTCTATAATATTGCAAAAAATTTCAGATATGGGATCTTGCGAGTGGTAAATTGAAAGTTTCTTTGACCGGTCACATAAGTAGCGTTCGCGGACTCGCATTCTCTCAAAGACATCCATATCTATTTTCTTGCGGAGAAGATCGGCAAGTAAAGTGCTGGGATCTTGAGTACAACAAGGTTGCAGCATAATCTTAATTATTCGTGTTACTATTTTACGCGTTTAACATTCAACGTTTTAAATTTTTATTGTTTTTACAGGTTATAAGACATTATCACGGTCATTTATCAGCTGTATATTCCATGGCATTACATCCTAGCATCGATGTATTAGTAACTGCAGGTAGAGATTCTACTGCAAGAGTATGGGATATGCGTACAAAAGCAAATGTACATACGCTCGTTGGTCACACCAACACAGTTGCTAGTGTAATTTGTCAAACAGCCGAACCACAGGTAGCAAAGTCAAACAACTTATCAAATAACTTGACATTATACATCCTAAAAAAGAATATTTAATTCTTTACTTCCTTTTTTGGAACCAGATTGTCACTGGAAGCCACGATTGTACCATACGATTGTGGGATTTAGCTGCTGGAAAATCCAGAGCTACTTTAACGAATCACAAGAAAAGTATAAGAGCTGTGACTTTCCATCCATCGCTGTATGTATTTTTCTTCATATCGTTCAAGATGTGACAATTTCTTTCATTTAACTTGTATCTTTTTATCAGATACATGTTTGCATCAGCATCTCCAGATAACATTAAACAGTGGAAATGCCCAGAAGGAAAATTTATTCAGAACTTATCAGGTCACAATGCAATAGTTAATTGTTTAGCTGTTAATGCCGACGGCGTATTAGTTTCTGGAGCAGACAATGGCACTATGCACCTTTGGGACTGGAGAACAGGGTAAATAATATTTCACGCGAAGGTTGCATTCTTTTTGCATAATATCGTACGGTAAATGTATAAACTTCAAGGTATAATTTTCAACGTCTACAAGCACCCGTTCAACCGGGTTCGATGGACAGCGAAGCCGGAGTATTTAGCATCACGTTCGATATGTCTGGTACTCGCATGATCACAACAGAAGCAGATAAAACAATTAAAGTTTACAAAGAAGATGATACCGCTGTAAGAAAATTTTATCTTTCAAACGTTAATCACGCTAATCGATCAATTTAAAAAAAGAGATTATTTTTTTTTATCATTGTTTTCAGACCGAAGAGACACATCCTGTAAATTGGAGACCGGATATAATAAAGCGAAGAAAATATTGAGCATCTTTATACGTAATAAATATTATTAATTTTAAATTCCTTCCAAGCTATAATTTATAATAAAAAACAGAATGGCAAAACACGTCAACATCTCATAGCTCTTCATCCAAGTTAAATTCTTCTTCGGGAAAGTCTCCCATCTTCACGTGTATTGGTTTTACAAATCCTCCATATTTCGGTAAACACTCGAAATATTTTTTCCCACTGACGCTGTAACGATAAAACGCGTAAAAAATTAAAAACAAACTACACGAAAGAACAAAATTGAAAATAAACTACACGAAGAACGACGCGATATAACGATACTTGCGTAAAATATAATGTAAAACTTGGATAATACTCGTGGTCTTACGTTCCGTTATTTTTACCAAGCGGTTCGTCATATTTTACTCCGATCCACCAACCTTCTTTAAACTCCGTTTTCCCTATGGACATAAATAAACGGTTGTTACATAATAATAAGGCAATAAATTTAAACTGGAATCGGTATACTTACCAACGTACATAACCGTAGCTCTTCGTTTTGGTTGATTCGGTACACAAACTTCACAACGATCGCCAACTTTGCACAACTGTGCAGCTGCTACTTCCGTCTCTTCTTCTTGCTTCTTTTCTTCCGCTCTTCTCTTCATTTCTTCCTCGTTATATTTTCCTAATTTATTTTTTTCCAAAAATGCTTTCACAGTATCTGAAATAGAAACTTATCAATATACCACGAAGTGGTTCTAAACTTAAATTCGAGAGCTCGCAAGTCATAAATTTTTCTACGTAATTATTCTTTTGTAGAAATCTATGCAAGAAGCGTTCGCGCAATCATTATTCGTACTTTTATTTCACCTGTTCTCTTGGCGTATTCTTCTTCGGATATTTCAAATTTCTCAACGTTGTTTAAATTTTCCTCAGCGCGGGAAAAATTATCCATCACCTAAAATACGTTAGTACTTGTAGACACAACGCCATTACGATCGAAGAGAATTCTCACATCACGTTACACGTATAAATGTATCTTACATGTATACGCATTCCATCATCAACAGGATACGAGCCTAACAAACGTCGACCGTCGTCTAATTTGCAAATTAATTTGTCATTTTTATCATATACCTCGATTTTCATCGTTACCGGGTTACCGCCAGTAACAAGTTCCAATTTTCCCTTTAACACGATAAGATAAGAATAAGATAACAACATAAATCAAACAGTAACATACACCAACCATCATCGTAGATTCTTACTTTAAATTCATCAATTGTTATTCCTTTTTGAAATCGTCGTTCCACGCAATACGAGTTACGGCTGGAATTACTAGTAATGGATAAATTTACAAAATCCGACGTTACTACGTTAAAAGTGCTCATGTCGTTTGCAACAAAGAAGAACGTAATTCTTTAACGTACGATCGAACGAACTTCCGAGCTTCAAACTTTGTATTTATAGGTTATGTAAATTGTAACACCAAAGTTACTGATTTTGCAAACCAATTCGTTTATCAAACGATGGCAATTAGAAATTCCGATAACAAACGTAACACCGTTTTTATACCACGAACGTACGAGAACGAACGAGACGTTCGCACACACGCGTATATACGTGGATAAACGAACGACCTGTAGTTCGACAGGTCATCAAATTCGCAGTTTAACGTTTCAATTTAAATTTCAATATCGAAATGAAATTCTTGCTTGATAAATTACAAAATTACTTTTCTCCTTCGCGCGACTAATTTTAAACGTAAAAACAAACACACGACAACGTACAATTTCTCGTATCAATTCGATTCTTGCAAAGATCATACGACAATGTTCGGATAACGCGACGTTAAGAAATAAGAAATCAAACGAATCGAATCGACTTTGTCTTTATCGTAAACCAAAAGTTTTTTATTCGGTCGTTACGAAAGAAGAGACTAACATCGCTGCTATTATCTTGCATCAAACAACCACGAGCGTTTGATCTTTCACATTGCAAAACAATTTTTGAACAACACTGAATTGAAATATATAGTTCGCGAACAGTCCGCAGAGCGAAAATGGCGCTATCGTCAAGTGGGCTGCCACGTAACGTTGCGTGTTACATTTTGCATCGAAGA